ACTCATTCCTAGGCAGCCTTGGCTCCTTCTATGATGGGTTTATATGTTACACCTACCTCAAAGCATATTGGGTAAAAGCCATAAAAATTCTGATTCCTCAAAACTGTTAACATTTATTGAGCACTGGCTATCTGCCAGGTGCTATGCTACACTCCCTGTGTACGTTACTTGGCTTAACTCAACTACATCAGGCAGGAATGATTATCTCCATTTCCCCGCTGGGGTCATCAGGTAGATCACACAGCTCGAGATGACCTAGATTTGAAGCCAATGTGCCCAGAGCATGACTATCGGCAGAGCATGGAGCCAGATACAGCCCCAGGATGGGGTGTTGTATCTGGAATGTAAAGCATTTCATCCCCATCTCCACCCCCCACCCAGAGTTCAGAGGCAAGCATGACACCATTTTCCAATTACTCAGCGATCTTTCCTGACCACCTCTAACAGGCCTGTCTCTGTGCTCGGCACTAGGGATTCGGCAGAGAACAGGGCAGGCTGGGTCCCTGTCCCATGGACACTGGCCAGGGGGGAAGCCAGCAGGAGTCAGAAGTGTGAGGGGCATGAGGACGGACGCCAGAGCCAATGCTCTCTTCTCTCAGGTTTTATTTCTGCCAGACACCGCTCTGCCTGCGGGAGTCCTAACCTTCAAGGCAGGCAGATGTCTGCTCCTCCCCACCTTTGCCGTCCTCCCCACTGAACGGTTAGCTCCTGTGCGGGTCATGCAGTCCAGAAGGAAGTGTAAACAGGGCGGCCTCTCTTCCCGAGGCCGGGCTTAACAACCTGGCTCCACGTGGGTGCAGAATCAGGATCTGGGCCTATTTACAACTATGTTCTTACACCTGCCTGTTTCAACATCCATTAGCTCAACAAATATTGATTAAACTCCTACATGTTAAAAAAAAAAAAACAGGGCTGGCACCTGTGGAAATACACATTCAACCAGGGCCTCCAGGATTGAAGAAGGAAGAGAGAACCACAAAAGCTGCTATTTTACATATCTTCTCCCATCAACCTGGGGCAGCGGCAGGGTGGGGTTGGGAGGGCACAAGGACAGGTCTTAGCTCCTTTTTTTAAAAAATGTTTTTATTAATTTTAGAGGAGGGGTGGTGAGAGGGAGAGAGAGAATGAAACATTGAGAGAGAAACATTGACCGGCTGCCTCCTGCACACCCCCTACTAGGGATTGAGCCCACAACCCGGGCATGTGCCCTGACTGGGAATCGAACCAGCGACCTCTTAAGTGCACAGGTGGATGCTCAACCACTGAGCCACACCAGACGAGCTTAGCTCCTTTTATATAAATAAAAGGCTGACAGAGGTTAAGTGACTTGCCCAAAGTCAAAAGCCTGAAAGTGTAGAGTCAGGATGCTACTCCAAGTCTATAACAGTGGTTCTCAACCTTGGCTGCATATTAGAATCACCTGGGAATCTTTTTAAAATCCTCATTTCTGGGCCTCATCCTCCGGAAATTCTGTTTCTTTGTTACTAACGTTGTGGCCCCACCCCATAACAAAGAAACAATTTCCGGAGGATGAGGCCCAGAAATCAGGATTTTAAAAAGATTCCCAGGTGATTCAAATGTGCAGCCAAGGTTGAGAACCACTGGTCTATGATCTATCCAGCCTGCCTGACACCCACACACACATACATGTAAGGGCATGGGCAAGATCCATGGGGACTACGGCCAACCCAAAAAGATAGGCGTTCAGACCTGCTGCCCCTAGGAAAGTAGCTTTGGCGGCTCAGCCTTGAAGCCAGGAAGACTGTGAAAGCCAGTGAACATCTCTGACCCACTGCATTTTGGGTCTGAAGCCAGGGAGTCCAGCCTGATGAGCTCTGCACTGAAGCATTCTTTGAAGAAGGGACAAGCCACGGCCCACCTGCCACAGGTCTTGAGTCATGCCTCCTGCCTGTGCAGACTTCTACCTGCATGAGTAACAGGCCTCACCATTCAGAGGAAGTACTTCCTTCCGCGTCATTTAATCCAATCCCTGTAGGAGCCCCAGGGTGTTAGCAGGGCAGGAATGCAGCTCCTTTACAGAGAAAACAGAATGGAGGTGCCAGGCACCTGTCTGTCTTGTTCAGCGCTCTATCTGCACGGAGTTGGTGCTCCAAAAGTATTCATTGAATGAGCTAATAAAAGCTGAGAGACTTGCCCAAAGTCTCACAAATAGTCGTGGTTGCACCAGGGCTAAAAACAGGGTCTTTTGCCTCCCCGCCAGTGGCCTTTGTGTCCCACTGCACTGTGTCCTCCCCGCCCACCCCCCACTCTCCTGCCTCCATCTGGAATGGGCAGACTCTGTCCACTTGTCAGCTCTGGTCCCACCCAACGCTTGCTTCCCAGGGTCATCAGGGAGGGTGTCAAAAGCAACCAATTACACTAAGTCTGATTCTCCACAGGTAATACCACTTTATATCCCACTGAGAACTAGGTGAAATCTACAGAGGAGGGAATGGACGCAAAGCAAATTTATGGCAGAAAAAAACTTTGGACCAGATTTTCTGAGTCCAGCCCAAAGCTTGTGCTGTCCAGCTGCTCCCTCCCATCAATCCCACCAAAGCAGGCATTGGCTCCCCTTGGTCCAGAGATCCCGGCAGGATCTGGATGCCAGGCCCAGCTTTCCTACCTCCCTTAACCAACGAGGGACAGGGAAGGCGAAGCTGCCTGCCTCGAACATGGATGCATCCCAGCCCCACCCCACACCAGCCTGGGACTCTGGGCTGGTTAACTTCCCCCTCGGCCCCTCATTCCCTCACCCTCACGTGTGCCCGGCTCACAGAGCTGCTGGGAGTAACAACTGGAACAATATACGTGACTAGATTAGAACAATGCCTGGCACACATCAACCAATGCCAGCTTTTGGAACTGTTGGGTTTGCCCAGTAGATTACCAAATTTCCCAGACCACTCTGTTTCCACACCACCCAGGCCAGAGTTTTATGGAGAGAGAGAGAGAGAGAGAGAGAGAGAGAGAGAGAGGCACTATATAATTTTTCTTCCCAACTATATTTAATATGTTCATTCATTCATTCGATAATACTGAATACCATTGTGCAGGTCCCCTGCTCAGTGCTGAGGAATCAAGAGTTTGTGCTTCCCAGGAACTCAGTCCTCCCACAGTCCTTAAAAGGACCTAATTTCTCATTCTTGGGCAGTCCTGTCACTCCCACCCCTCCTAGGCTTACAGTAAGTAGGTACTCAGTAAATAAGAGTTTCCTTCTCTTCTACTCCCCATGGATGATCCCAAGACATCCACCATCCTAATCCCATCGCTCCTGTCCAAGTTAAAATCTATTCTCAAGAAGGAAGGCTTCACCCTGAAATTTAAAGAGCCCCTCGGCCTTGCCCCCACGGGAATTTCTGTTACCCACTCCCTTCTCTGCTCCACCAACCACCCAATTGTCCCCGGATATAAGGGGGTGAGTGGGGTACTGTCACGGCTCTCCCCAGCTCTCCCAGGGCGGGTAGAGAGGAAGAGAAGGGGTGGTCTTAAGTAACGGCTGTATTTCCAATTAGTCAGCTCGAAGCTGGGGGACGGTGGGATGTCGCATAGGGCTGGGCCCAGCGAAAGCCTGCCTGGGTGTCAGGTCGACTGACTTTGAGGAAGCCCTTTGTGTGTGTGTTTTAAATTACCTCTGCTTGTCTGATGAAGTGAGTAAAAGGGCTTAGGATTCCTGAGTGAGCTAATACAGGATGCCTTTGGCTGAAAAAAAAACTTCAGTCGGCTCCCTAAACTCCCCCCCTTTTAAGTTTAAAAAAGGGAATGAATGTTACCATTTTTGGACATGAGCGTTCTCCCTCAAGCCCAGCCCTAACCGCACTATCCAGAGGGACGCGCCATCCTGTCCCCCCCCCCCCCATTCCCAGATCAGCAGGGGGTGGGGGAATGGGGGTGGGGCGAAGAGGGATGAAACGAGGAGGGACCGGATGGGAGCGGGCAGCGGGGGGAGGAGGGAGAGAGGGGTGTTGAGGGTACGTGGCCGCCTGGGGCAAGACCTCACCGCGCAGGCAGGAAGCAAAGGCAGTGTTGGGGCGCCTTCCCCCCACCCAAAGAGTGGTTTCTGACCTCTTCCTGCCACTGGCCACAGTGCCGGAGTCCCATCGCCAGCTGCGAGCCTAGCTCCGGGGGTGGAGTGCGCACCGGGTGCACGGGGACTGGGACAAGGCTCGGTGGCTAAGCAGGGATCCCCGTGACCCTAAACATCCCCGGGACAACCCCCTGCCCTGAAGCCCCTCAACTCAAGTTGCCTAAATCCGCCTTCTCCCAGGAATGAGCAGGATTCGGAGGCGCAGGACGCAGACTCAAGCCCACCTCCGCTCGCAACTCGCAACCCACTGAGTTAAGCAATAAAACGGTTTGCCGTCCTGACCCCGCCCCCACAGGGCCCGCTGGGGAGCCCGCGTACACCCCCGGCTTTTCTCGGCCCCAACCCCTTCAGCAGGTCCACCTCGAGGCCGACCCGGGGGCAGCTTCCAATCCCTCCGGCGCCCTCCTCCCCCTCGGTCTGCGGGCAGGGGCAGGGAGGCGCAGAGGCGCAGCTTGCCCCTCCAGGTACCCAGCCCAGGGCGGCCCAGGAAGTGCGCTGCCACCGCACGCCATATGGAGAGGCGGCCAGGGGGCGGGGAAGGGAAGGGAAATCGATCCGGAGCCGCAGCTACCGAGCCGGGGGGCTCAGCCCCAGCCTCCCGAGCACT